TAATAAACTTTTATTATTTTCATTCAGTTTCTGAGAATCTAAAACATTATTATTTTTATCACTTTTATATATTTAACCACAACACATGAACATATTTGAAAACATAAGTATCAGTAATTATAAACTTTATAATTCTTTATTAGGATTATTATTATTATATAGTTACATATATCTGTATATAATCTATATTTATAATTCTTTAGTTCACTCTGAATGAGACAGAGCGCCACCTGGTGGATGATAATTTTAGATTTCTTTTGTTTTTAATAGATGGAAATATTAATAAAGCTACGATTTACATGTTTAATGTAAAATAAGTAAAAATCTGTAATAATCATAAAGTTACTGATTATTTAAATATATTTTTTAAGTGTATAATTTTTCCTCAGATATTTACTGTTTATTAAAAAGATTAAACTGTTAACTTCCAAATTAAAGTTTACAGATATCTTGTATAATGATGGAAGTTGAATAAATGTTATCAGAGTAAACAGCAATAATTAGCGTCATTTCACAGATAATAACTTTTAATAAACAATAACAGCACTGTGCTGTAAATGTAAGACTGATTATTATTTATTATTTATTATTGTAGTTATTTATAGCTCATTGTTTCACAGTGAAAAGAAACCGACTGGATTCGTTGTTTTCTGCCAGTGAACGTCACTTCCTTTATTCCAGTCAGTCAGTGTAGGAAAATAGATTCACATTAATGTTCTGTCCTCCATCACTTTTCTGTTTCTCTTCACAACAAACAAACAAACAAACAAACAAACAAAACCGGCTCCAGAAAAACAAAGCGGGGCGGAGCAACAACTCACACAGGTAAAGGTGCATTTCACTGATTATTGTTGTTTCCAAACTGAAGGGCAAACAGGGAAGGTTATTGGTTTCTTTTTTGTTTTTATGGACCGATGTCGACCCCCCCCCACCCGACCTTCAACATTTATTTATAAGAGAAAAGTGCAAAAAATTACAAAAGCCAGCGAGTTACAGGGAAGAAAAACAAACGTTTAACGTTAATAATATACAAACAGTCACAGGAAAACCATGCAGGAAGCCAGCAGCGTCTTCCACAAAGAAAAGATATTTTTAAAAGATCTTCATAGCAACAGTAATAATAATAAAATCTGCACATCAACGAGCTGTACATCTGTACGGAAGCAGCAACGACAGACAACAAAAACAGAAATTAAATAAGAGAAACTCTCAGATTCAGTAAAAACAACAGAAAGCGGCACGAAGCTCCACATGTTGCTGTCTGACGTCAGAGTCCCACTCAGGTTCACTCAGGACTTCATTACCCAGAGTTCCTGAGCCTGAGAGGACTTCATTACCCAGAGTTCCTGAGCCTGAGCGGTAGCAATGCCTGGAAGGCTTCACTCAGGGCAAAAAAAAGAGTAAAGAATCCTCTCTATCACTGTTGAACCATAAAAACTCTGAGTGGGTCTCTGACAGGAAACAGGGCTACTTTGAGTTTAAACTGGGAGTTCAACATCATCATCACCATCATCACCATCACCATCATCATCGTCACAATGACTGCGGCGTTTGACCAGGATCAGCTCCGTCACACTAACGTCTCTTGAACTGTCGACTCACCTTCAAACCCGCTCACCAGACTCCACTCGCGTTAGAGCGAATTTAAGAGTTTTCGTGAGACGTTTGTTCCGGGTTGTTCGCAGGTCGTCGTCACCACTCAGGTCACGTGAGGGTCTCGTGGATTTAACGACCGTCACGCGACCTGAATGACCCTCAGGTGATGTCAGAGACTCCCCAACAGTCAGAGCAGAAGGGGCCTGGGGGGGGGGGGGAGAATATAAATGTAGTTCCCTCTGACGAGTCACCTGAGGGTCACTGTAGCTGTGGGGGTCACGAGGTCAAACAATTAAAAAGCTTGTTTGCAGTCAGTGAAGTTCAGCTGGAGGGCAGGAAGTGAAAGCGGTGAAGTCGTTCCTACGGTAACCACTGACAACAGATAACCTGAACTGGATTCATCAGGTAGTTTCAGTTTGAACTTAAGCCAGGCTATAAAGTGATGATAATGCTACATAGACTAACTTCAGCTATCTACAATAACAGTCTCTGTTTGACATCAAAAACAAGGATTGCCACCGATTGTCAGTACAGAAGCTGTTTCCATGGTTACTCGCAGATCCGAGCGAGTTCGCGGGTGGAGACTCGCTCCCGTTTGAAAAGACTTTTAGTTTGTTTGTGTCGTTGTGTGACTCAGAGGAGATCGAGGTAGAGGTTCACCAGAAACTCTTCTGCAAAGTAAAATCACTGTTTTTATGACTGGAGTCTGGTGGCTGTGACGTTACGAGGATATAACGGCTTCTAAATATAGCACAACTTAAACTGATGTTAAGCAGATGTGTTCACATCGGCTGCGTTGTGCTGCCGCCGCTTCCACAGAGGAACTCGGCAGCAGTTTTCCTCGTGGTTTCTGGGTTGGATCGAGTTGAGCAACCGTAGTTTGTTTCACTTCCTGTCCTCCACCTGCAGGCGAATGACCTCATGTGCAAACGAGCTATATAACACCACAGACAGGAAGTGACATCAGAGGATGTTGTGTCATCGAGTCTGATCCTTTGCGGTCAACGCACCGCTACCCGAATCCCGATCCTTTAGTCTTTGATTATCTGACCCGTTTCTGGTTTTGTTTTGAGCAACGCGGCTCCACAGTGAAAGATTCCCGCTCCACCTTCAAACCCGATGTCCCTGATGCAGGTCTGTTCCAAACTGGTCCAAACTGGTCCCAACTGGTCCAAACTGGTCCAAACTGGGCCTTCCTGCCCTTTGACTTCTCATGGACATTGTCCGACAGTGACTCCAGTTAAAGGGTCAAACTGGGTCTTCCTGCAATAATTTCCAGCTTGTAGTTTTTGACTTTCACACACTTTCTTCACACATCCAGTTTCTCTATTCGGGACCAGTGGACCCGTTTACTTACTCTGAGTCGTCCACAGTGTCGCTCATCTTTCAGTCTCCTTACAAACATCTACAGCGAGTGAAGGAATTCCCAGTTCGCCCAGTTAAGAGACAAACTCATCACGGACATACAGGGAAACCTCTTTCACATCCAGAGTCCAGAACTTTTCCAAACTTATTCCACATTTCCAATTTGCCCAGTTTGGTCCAGTTTGGTCCAGCAGGTCCAGTAGAGGAAACACAGCAGCATCGACTCTGGATTCCCAACAAGACCCTGAAAGCAACATTTCACTTTGCTATGGGGCTGAAAATGACAATGAGTTAATAACAGAGTCACAAGTCAAGAACAAGTCCCGAGTAAGATCATGTCCCAAGTCAACACCAACAAATACAAATATCCAAGTCCTCTGTGTGACTCCAGGTGTCCTGATTCGATGCTGTTTTCTAACCTACACTTTATCTTTTGGGATCAGGGAGGAAATCGAGTCCAAAGTAAAGCTGCTATCTACGACTTTATCGAGTCTCGAGTCCCTGGAGTCGTGACTCGAGTCCAGGTCTCTGAGGTCTTTACAGAAGTGCTTCTTGTCGCCCATCAAGTGAAATGTTGCTTTAAACCGTCTCCGATCCCTCCAGTTACTGCAACTTTAACGTGTTTCCCTCTTTATTCATACTGTTAAACTCTTTACTCAACAATTTAAACAAGAATTATTATTCTGAAGTTTTTGCATTAAAAAATAAATCTGGCACCGTTCAGTCGGTCTCTAGCGGAGTGCGAGCAGAAAGCAGAACGACACATCACCCATAAATACGTGTCAATGTATTTTCTCAATGCATATAACAATAAATTCATAACATACGAGAAACCTTCTCTTGTTTTTTAACAGTGCAACTTTTCATCAGGTTCAGTTCTGAGTGAACGGGGCTGAGGCTCGGCGGTTAAAGGGAGGCCCAGACGGTCGAGCTTCCACCGGGGGGGAATCTTTTGGCACGTCACCGTAGTGATACAAAGAACATATGAGCATCATAAGTGCTTGTTTTAATTACACACGAGGGGCGGGGCTGTAGCAGCGAGCGCGTGAGCCGGGCCGCACACCTTAAACTCAGTATTAACAGTCATTAAGTGTTTCGGCGTCCCTTTGACCGACCTGAAGCTCTCGTTGTCACAGGACGGAGGGAAACAAGAACACACACACACACACCTGTACTCACACCTTGAGCGTCGACAGAAAAAGGTTTTTGTACAAATTTGTGATCACAGGATGGAAAACAGCGAAGGTCGACGGCGGCGCCGAGCCCTGCGGTTTGTAGCACCAACGATGAAGAAGAAGACGCCCTCACACGGAGCGAGAGGCAGTTTGGCAGCGGTGAAGAACGAGCGTCAGCAATGTGACATCACCACGGCAACGGAGGATCGAACCAAAACACAAACTGGGTTTTTTGTTTGAATCAGGAGGAAACTTTATTTTACAGCAGATTCTGAAACTTTAACTTTATTTAAATCTTCTTAAAACGATTTAACACCCAAAAACTGAAACAGCTGATTGATCAATAAGTATATCGATAGTCAATCAGAAACTATTCTGATAGTCGATTCAATTATTTTTATGCTTTCCCGTCTGATGTGATCGTGAACCAAAGATCTTTGGCTTTCTGACTGACGTGAGGACACCTTGAGCTTACTGATCGACATTTACTGCCGATCAATCAAATAACTGAAAACCAATTACAATGACTAAACTTTGGATGTGGAGTGTGAAGCTTTAAGTGTCTGTATTGATTAACAGGAACAGTCAATCGGTTCTTTCGACTGTGGTCTGAAACCCAGCTGAACACTTTAATGTAGAAGGTTTTGTCACATTGCTGATCCATACAGTGCTTCAGTGGGGATCAATAAGAGGCGGTCGGAGAGTTAGTGCAAAGGACGCATGGCAACAACAGCTAAGCCGGCTAGCAGGCTGATCATGACTAAACTTCAGTGCTACAGAATCCCTCATTAATACGTGTTACTGCATCTCTTTAGCGCTACGTGGCAGCTAACTTTGTGCTTTGCTCTTTGTGCCTGAGCTGACGCCATTTTCTACAAACAGGAAAAGGACGAACTTCTACTCGTGTTTCTGTGGCGGCGATTAAACGCGTAATTTCTTCAGTGGCGTCCGTGTCCCAGCGAGCTCTGCTGGAGGCACAGTAAGTGCTAATGTCAGTCTCACGAGCGTCGAGAGAAGTCAGGGTAAAATAGTTGAGATGATGAAAAAGAAACATTACGTCTTAAATACGTCTCAGTGTGGTCGGAAGGGCTGGGTATCAGTTTCAGACTTACACCAAAGTTCCTGTGTTAACATTTGAGAAGTATCTGTTCCCTTTTTGTTTTCTCAACTGATCACATCGCTGTGATACATATATGATATATAACAAGTCAAAAGTAATTGATAAGAGTTGTAGTTGTTGCTCTCTCGAAGGCTACTGAGGTCACAGTGTGGAGCTTCTTCCTCTAATCAATGACCTGATTGATTTTTAAGGTGGAACGGATTTATTCAGTGTTTTTAGTGGTTTAAATCAGCATTGGTTTCGGGGAGGAGGAGGAGTTCCTGTGTGGATGATCTAGTGGCAGAAACTCTCACTCTGGAGCGGCCTGTTTCCAATTCGTTATTGAAGATTCAAGCTATACTGGAACCAGATCCAGACCTGGTAGTAATATGGCATCAGAAACATTCCTACTGATACCCAGCGCCACAAACCCACCACAGTCTCGCACCCGACATGAGGTGTTTATGTGTTTCTGATCAATTTTAAACAATTTCGTGACCAAATATAATAAAAAACGAGTCTCACTAACCTCGACCAACTAGGATAAATAAATAATTCAACTTAAGATGAACAAGGCTCATCAATACTTCTGTCCAACAGCTTGTTTGCAGTCGTTCCACAGACGGGTGACATTCAGACGGAGGAACAGTTCGTGCTGCGTTCGTTTTAAGGTACAAACAGACGTCGGACTGAAACAGTTTCTGAACTGAAGTCATTATTTTGCTCCCTCAAAGCCACCAGACTCCTTTAATAAAAACAGGGCTTTTACCTCACAGGTCACAGGAGTTTCTGTTATTCTGTGTCTTTGGTGATTTATCAAGTTCATTTGAAATCTGAAGTAACGGTGGTCGCTGCGCATCGAGGCAGAAACTCTGTTGTTTTTATTGAAGGAGTCTGGTGTCTCTGAAGAGAGCACTCACAGACTCGTTTGCTGCTGCGCATCCACAGAGGATCAATAAGAAATGTCTTGCATCGGTCTGATCGATTTGAGCAACCGTCAATAACTTTTGAGAGTTCGCGACGGTGCTTATCGCCTCCCGCCCTCCATCTGCAGTCGGCGCCACAGGATCGCGGCGCCACGTGCAGACAAGCTGTGAGTTATGAGCCACGTCCTTCCCTGTCTCTCTCACACACACACACACACACACAGCTACTGACTGACAGAAACACTACAAACTAACCAAAGCTGTTCAGAACAGAGCAGAGCGTCCGTCCATCATAACTTCGTCCTCACCGTCACTTTCTAAAACCTTTCAAGGACATTTTTATTGCAGCTTTGAGAAAAGCTTTCAGCATCCTAAAATCTACATTTCCACGAACTGAAGGTGAATCGAGGTCATTTTGTAGCACAGAGAACCTTCACAAGGCTCTGACCCGTAGTACCTATCGACCCACTTCAGGCTGAACTACTGAACCCTCCTCCCCTCTGTCCTTTCATCCTCCCTCCTTTATATCACTCTCTTATTTTATCTGTGGGTTTTTTCTTGATGATCTGAAGCGGCGGAAGCGACGCGGCGGACGACCGAAACCTCAGCGCAGAGTGAGAGGACGGCGAGGAAGAAGGGAAGAGAGTCAGGTTTGATTTCAGGCTCGGGCCACCGGAGGAGTCGCTCTTCTGGTTCCAGCCACAGACAGACAGACAGACAGACAGACATGCAGTTAAAGAATCACAGGTTTCTAAAAGCGTCCAGTCTGTTTACAAGTGCAATGGGAGCCGATGGAAGGACAGTCAAGGTTTTTGGCTTCATTTATCCTCCTGTGATTGGCTCTCTGCTGACACCAATCGGGGATTTCCACCAATGAGGAAGAGGGGAGGGGAGGGGGGCGGGGCTTTGTTGCAGTGAGGTAAAAGCTGAGCGAGGGAGGTGGGCTCATAAAAAAGATGAGGAAGAAGAAGAGTGATGAGCACTAGTGTCCCTCTCTCTTTGAGGAGGTGCTGCTCTCCTCCGCCGCCTCCTCCTCGCTCTGCGTCGCAGTGACGGAGGAGGCGGAGGAAGAGGAGGCCGGAGCAGCAGTAGAAGAAGAGGTGGAAGGCAGCGGGCTGACGGGCAGCTCCACCGGCGTCAACGTTATCTCCACCTCTCCCTGCTCCTCGTGCATCATGGGCAGAGGAAGAGGAGGAGGAGGAGGGTGAAGTTGTGCTGCTGGAAGAGGAGCGACGCTGCTGTTGTTATTGCTCGGTCTCGGAGCTTTCTGGATGACCTCCACCATGGGGGTCCGTTGGGACGCCGCCAGCTCCCAGCTGGGGTTCCCCGGACTCTGGAGCAGCAGCAGCGGTGGCCGGCTGTGGCGGTCCGTCTCAACCGCCCCGCCCGGCTGACACTGGACCACCACCCCGCGGTGCTCCATCAGCCGGTGAGCCGGGTCCGACACCGCCGGCAGCGGGCTCAGAACCAGTCCTGGCTGGTCCTGGATCACAAGCTCCAGCACGGGCTGCGTGGAGGAAGAGGAGGAAGAGGAGGAGGCTTTCTGGATGACGCCGCCGGTCAAAGAGGTGATGATAGGAGGGTGGGAGGGAGGCGCCGGCGGGGGAGGCTGGGGAGGAAGAGCAGCAGGAGGAGGAGGAGGAGACAAGGCGTCCTCTGGCCGAGGTTTTCTCGGTCGTCCACGTTTCCGTTTCACTGGAGGAGCGTTGGCGGCCGAGCCACTGGACACGCCCACAGTGCCGCCGGACGTCACCTCCAGGGGGCGCTTGCTGGCGTTCCCTCGCGCTTTCTGGACCACGGAGGTGGGGGCTGCGGGGGCGTGCTGCTGCTGGGGGGGAGGCTGCGGTGGCGGGGCGACCTTCTCCCTCTCGTACGACAGACAGCGCTGAGGCAGGATCATCACCGGGACCGGCCCGCCCTGCTGCTGGGGCAGCGTCGCCATGGCGATGACCTTCACCCCACCCCCGCTGGCGGCGGCGGCGGCGGCCGGGCCTCCGGGTTCCGGACGCCCCCCGACACCCGAGGCGTCTTTGGGGGCCAGCGAGGGCGGAGAGGATCGCACTGAGAGCTGGGCCTTATCGGGGATGGAGCTCCGAGGGAGGATTCTGGGTAACTGCTTCATGAAGGCTTCCACCTGCACAACCAGTTATCAATGTTATTGATCAGGTTATTGGTAACTGACACCAGTCATAGTTATCAATGTTACTTATTGATCAGGTTATTGGTAACTGTGGATAAGAACTACTGGAATAAGAAACAGAACCTTCGCTGGTAACAACAAACTTTGAGATAAAATTAAAGCAGCGATGAACGGATCCTCGCCGTCGGCGCCGTGTTGTGTTCAGGGTCAGTCTGTCACACTCACGCTCAAGACCCATTTAAGATGTAACATTTTAGCACTCGTGAGACTGAATGTTGTAGATGTGTGAGACTCTAATCAGACGTGTGAAGTTTGGCGCAGATTGCACTACTTCCTGTTTTATGGTGAAATTGGGCGCTACGCCACCGGCACGCCATACAACGAAAACTCATAATTATGGCAACTTTTCAATATGAAGGTGTTTACATCGCACCGGCCGAATCTGAAGTCAATCCGATGAATTCCCTAAGAGGAGTTCGTTAAAGTACAACATGTTTAAACAGCCAAAGGAACATTACAGCATGGCCGACTTCCTGTTGCGTTTGGGGGTCTGTCTGATAACAGTGTGAGTGCAGGTGAGTGCAGGTGAGTGCAGGTGAGTGCAGGTGAGTACAGGTGAGTGCAGGTGAGTACAGGTGAGTGCAGGTGAGTACAGGTGAGTACGGGTGAGTGCAGGTGAGTACAGGTGAGTGCAGGTGAGTGCAGGTGCAGGTGTCAACCCACCGCAGGGCGCAGAGCGGAGGAGGAGGAGGAGGAGGAGGATGGTGGATTCGGCGCGTCCAGCGAGGAAGGTTTGGCTGCTGCGGCTGATTTGTCACCAGACGGCGGCTTCAGTGAAGACGAGGAGGAAGAGTCTCCGAGTTCCCTCTAAAGACAAAGAGGAAGTAGTGAGCGGCAGTGACATCATCTGCATGTGATCAGCGATTGGACAGAAACACGTGCGAGCACCTTCTGGTCGGCGGCGCCGTCGCCGTCCGCTTTAGAGATGACGGGTGTTTTCTTGATGACCTTGTGGGGTTTGGCCGGACCTCCTGCACACAGACAACCGTTACCAATAATCAATAAACTGATCGACAGGATCAATTCCTCAGTGGCTCTCTGACCTGCGAGCGCCGCGGAGGTCACCAGCTCGGCCTGGCTGCAGCGAGGGTTGACGATGTGCTCCTGGATGAGGTAGCGTGCGATCTCCACCACCGTGTCGAACGAACGCTTCAGGATTTTCTGAGCCCAGTCGCAGATCAGCTCGCACGCCGCCTCTGTCACTTCCTGTTTGTACGTCTGCACCAACTCGGTGAGCTCGGCCTGGAGAGGGGGAGGAGCTTAATGTGTGAGTGTGTGTGTCTGTGTGTGTCTGTGTGTGTCTGTGTGTGTCTGTGTCTCTGTGTGTGTGTGTGTGTGTGTGTGTGTGTACCGGGTCGTTCTTTAGGTCCAGGTTGGGCAGTAGAGGCATGTTGAGGACCGTCTTCCTCCTGATGCCACTGTAACAGTACGTATGAGCAGGTTAAGGAATTGAACCAGAAACCTGACAGAGGCTATAAAGTGATGTTGTGAACAGAACATCGGGTTAAAGGTCAAACTGAAGACTCTTCACACAGTGACGCTGCTGCAAATCTTTGTTTTCACTTTACTGTGAAATTATCTTCATCTTCATCATCATCATCGTCGTCACGCAGCCAAGTGTGAACATATGGAGACGATGTTCAGCCTCACTTCCTGCTGTCAGGATTAATCTGATTATTGATAAATATATTGATCCTGTAGAGAACAGCTCTGTCTGTCTGTCTGTCTGTCTGTCCAGCAGCTGAAAGGATATTTGGACTGTCCTCTGCCTCCGAGTCGTCGGGCCTTGATGTTTGGAAAAATGTCTCTGATGATCTTCCCGAAGTTGGCAGCGCTCAGAGGGCGATGCTGCAGGTTCTCACAGTATCTCCTGAGGACAGACACACAGACAGGAGGACAGTCAGGGATCACAGGACCCAACCACTAACTTCAGTCTCTGTGTGTCTGTGTGTGTGTGTGTGTGTGTGTGTGTGTGTGTGTGTGTGTGTACTGACTTGTATGTCTCGTAGACGTCCTGTTTGGGCAGACAGGTGTCTGAATGCTCCTCCAGGTGACTGCGGATCCAATTACAGGTGTGAAGCTGGTCGGCTGTGTTGAACGAACCGGAGTCACCACCACTACACACACACACACAGAGAACAAAGGTCAGTAGGACACACACACACACACACACACACACACACACACACACACACACACACACACACACACACACACACACACACACACACTCACACACACACACACACACACACACACACACACACACACACACACACACACACTCACACACACACACACACACACACACACACACACACACACACACACACACACACACACACACACACACACACACTGACCTCTTCTCCCCGGAGCTTGGTCCCGAGGGCAGCTGGAGGTACAGGTACAGTTTGTCATTGTCGGAGAAACGTTGAACGTCTTGCTGTTGAAGGAAATCACACCTGAGCACCTGCACCAATATATGGAGGCCGCACTCGACCACACAACAACAACAACATGGCAACCGAAGCAGGTAGCAGCAGTGTTAAACCAGCGCCTTCAACTATAAAAGCAGACGTTTGGAGTCATTTTGGATTCCAGTGTAAACCCGGAACACAGGAAATAGACAAAAGTAAGGTAGTGTGTAGGCCTGTCGCGATATGCGATAAATCAATGATCAAATAAATCAATGCTTGTTTGTTTTCCTCGTCTCTCTCTCTACCAAAGAGACAGGATGACCACTCTGGTGCATCGGTGACCCGGGGCGTCGCACCCGTGGGCGATTTTCCCGGTGAGAGGGTTCAACACCCACACTTTCTCGTTTTTCTGCAGTTTTGCACAAACGCTTTACTATCGCTCCGTTTCTCTGGCCGCTCTGTGTCTGCGCTCCCTGCGGCTGCCTCCTCTCCCCCTCCCTTGTCAAACATGACACCGGCTTTGAGTGTGACCGGCTGATGATTGGCTGTTCTGCCTTAAGTCCCGCCTCTCTTGGTGTGTTAGATTTATCATTCAGCTCGTGCTGAGGAGGCGGGAACTAGCTATGTTCATAGTTCATATGAAGCCCGAAGTTGTCAATATTGATAATAGGTACTGCTTCATCTCTTTTGCACTTTTTGTTTACAAAGGTCCTGACTGGCAGGTTTGCCTGTTAAGGAATGTATCACTCTTTATGTCTGAGCCTAATGTTTAATATTCTTTGACGTGCAATTTTGTCTACATCCATTTTATTTATTGTTTTAGTTGTGTTTGGTTTTTATTTCCATTTTTTTATGTTTTTGATTGTGTGGTATTCTATTTTTTGTTAACAGAGACTGAGAGTCCATTTTATTTATTATTTTTGGTTGTTTTGTTTATTTCTTGTGGATATTTAAAATGTCTTCCAGTTCCAGTATTACATATTGTTTAGAAATAAAAGTTTATTGATCTTTGAAAATGTGTACCTGCATTATTATGCCATTATTATTATATTAGATGAAAATGGTCTCAGAACGACAATATTATCGTTTATCGCAATAGTTTCTGGGACAATTTATCGTCCAGCAAAATTTGTTATCGTGACAGGCCTAGTAGTGTGTAAGCTGTGCAGCAACCCACGGCTGAACCTGTGGATTCAAAACAGACGCAACTCCACAGATCCTTCCTTTGCAAACTGCCTCCAAACTCTGCCCGCGCACAGAAGATAACGGAGTCTGTGGCCGTCTTCATATGTACGGACCTACGACCGCACAGTGTCGTGGAAAGCGGGGGTTTCAAACCATACCAAAAAACAAGAAAAAGCTGTAATTCTACTTATTACTGAATCGATGTCGAAGCATTAAAATCAATATCGAATCGAATTGTGAGGGTCTTAACAATACCCAGCCCTACAATGTACGGTCGTCAATAAGGTGATTGAGTTGGGTTCTTACCAGGATCTGATCCACTTTGGTCTGAACACTCTTCCTGAAGGACAGAGAACAAACACACCAATCAGAATATTGATTAGGACAGTAGTTCAAGCACATACAGCTGATAATGATCCCGATCAGTAATCAATACCCACATTATTAAAGTATTAATCAGACAACATCTCACAGTCGACTTACGAGATGTTGCTCTTGAGTTTCTGCAGCATCAGGCTGGGCTCCGTGTCGCCCTCCCCCGCCTCCAGACTGCTCTCCCCCCGCCGGGAGGCTTCGGACCGCTGGTGCCGCTGGTCCTCCGACATCTGGACCGACTAACCAGTGCTGAGTACCACCATCTGAGGACACACACACACAGACACACACAGACAGACACACACAGACAGACACACACACAGACAGACACACAGACAGACACACACACAGACACACACACACACACACAGACAGACAGACAGACACACACACACACACACACACACACACACACACACACACACACACACAGACACACACACAGACACACACAGACAGACACACACACACACACAGACAGACACACACAGACAGACACACACACACACACAGACAGACACACACACACAGACACACACACAGACACACACAGACACACACAGACAGACACACACACACACACACAGACAGACACACAAAATGAATCAGCTGTTTTTATATAATCACAAGTTCAAATGCTGCTTTTCTTCGTCCTCGTCATCATCAACTGAATATCACTTGCAAAAAACACCCAGACCCAGAACCAGAATTTTTATCAGCTGATTACAGACTGATGAAAACAAACATATGAATATTATATTACAACAATAGATCCTCCTCAATGTTATTGATCATTTTCAGGATATTTATGCTGCGATCCATTCGTCTCATAAATCCCCCGCCCGAGTTGCTCTGACACGAGAACGTGACGTATTGCCTGGCTTGTACCACTTATAGCGATCCAGTTGTCTTTGGGCATTACGAGTCAGAAAGAACATGGACGCCACCAGTGCAGCAGCTGTGTTGTTATTGTTTGTGGATCATCTAAACAAGCTCAATGTGAAATAATAATAATGTTTTCTACAGAAACACAAACATTTCAAGTAATTCCGTTATTGCAAGTCTTACATTTCAATAATATTTTGCCATTTTCACCTATTTCTATTTCAACAAGTGCTGTGGCGTTTGTCTCGAGCCACGAGGGGCCTCCAGGAACCACCAGGAGCCACCGGGGGCCACCAGGGGCCACCGGGGGCCTCCAGGGGCCTCCAGGAACCACCAGGAGCCACCGGGGGCCACCAATATTTACACATATTGAAATATGATCTGTGATCAGACAGGGAGTAAACACTGTTGCACACTGGACCTTTAATCGGATTACAATAAAACAACAAACAGACAATAAACAAGTTCCATGTATTTAAACTACCGACTCAGTGCTGTTTGTTTACCTTTAACTAAAAGCTGCACATTTGGACATATTTAATAATATTTGAATTCATTGTTCATTTAAAGCAGTGTTTCCTCTATGTGGATTTGGAGCGGCGGCCCGCCGCTGTTAAATTTCTGCCACCGCGGTATCAGAAATGTGGCAGACGCACAATGTAGTCCCGGTTGCCTTTTAAATGATCCTGCCGACATAATGCCCCCCCGCTGGCTGCCGCTCACAGTGCAGTTTAACAACAAGTAGAACTATTCAGAGCTGTCCAGTTTAACTCCACATACTGTTGTGTTGATGGAGCTTATTGTCAAAATGTTCTCTTTCTTCCAAGTAGACTATTAAACTAACAGCTCCACCAAAAACGTCACCGCGGTGGGTCCGTTTTAATTGGACAACGTTCAACTTGTCAGTTCTCAACGTCCTGATATCAAACATCTGGAGACATTACAACGGTAAGTGAGCCACTAATATAATACAAACTGGAAATAGTCTATAGATGGAATGATGTTAAAGTAAGTGTTCGGACAGGCCTGCCCCTACGGCTAAAAAATATCCTAGAGGAAACACTGTAAAGGGTTAATTCTTAACCTGTAGACAATCATTCATTTCTCTCTGCACAGACAGGCAGACAGACAGGCAGACAGACGGGTCACTCCCTCCTCTCCTCTGACACTGCAGCACTCTGTAGTTTAACACCACAACACACTTTAGAGCCTGATTCCGCGCTGACAGTCGGTAAAGAACAGCCGGTAAATAACAGTCGTAAAGAACAGCCGGTAAAGAACAGCCGGTACATAACAGCAGGTAAATAACAGCAGGTAAATAACAGTCGGTAAATAACAGCCGGTAAAGAACAGTCGGTAAAGAACAGCCCAGCCGGTAAAGAACAGTCGGTAAAGAACAGTCGGTAAAGAACAGTCGGTCAATAACAGTCGGTAAAGAACAGTCGGTAAAGAACAGTCGGTCAATAACAGTCGGTAAATAACAGCCGGTAAAGAACAGTCGAGCCGGTAAATAACAGTCGGTAAAGAACAGCCGGTAAAGCACAGTCGGTAAAGAACAGCCGGTAAAGAACAGTCGGTCAATAACAGTCGGTAAATAACAGCCGGTAAATAACAGTCGGTAAAGAACAGCCGGTACATAACAGCAGGTAAATAACAGTCGGTAAAGAACAGCCATAAAGAACAGCCAGTAAAGAACAGCCGGTAAAGAACAGCCGGTAAAGAACAGTCGGTAAAGAACAGCCGGTAAATAACAGCCGGTAAATAACAGTCGGTAAATAACAGTCAGTAAAGAACAGCCCAGCCGGTAAAGAACAGCCGGTAAAGAACAGTCGAGCCGGTAAATAACAGTCGGTAAAGAACAGCCGGTCAATAACAGTCGGTAAATAACAGCCGGTAAATAACAGTCGGTAAAGAACAGCCGGTCAAGAACAGCCGGTACATAACAGCAGGTAAATAACAGTCGGTAAAGAACAGCCGGTAAAGAACAGCCGGTAAAGAACAGTCGGTCAATAACAGTCGGTAAATAACAGTCGGTAAAGAACAGTCGGTCAATAACAGTCGGTAAAGAACAGTCGGTAAAGAACAGCCGGTAAATAACAGCCGGTAAATAACAGCCGGTAAATAACAGCCAGTAAAGAACAGCCGGTAAATAACAGTCAGTAAAGAACAGTCAGTAAAGAACAGTCGGTAAAGAACAGCCCAGCCGGTAAAGAACAGCCGGTAAAGAACAGTCGGTCAATAACAGTCGGTAAATAACAGTCGGTAAAGAACAGTCGAGCCGGTAAATAACAGTCGGTAAAGAACAGCCGGTAAAGAACAGTCGGTAAAGAACAGTCGGTAAATAACAGCCGGTAAATAACAGCCGGTAAATAACAGCCAGTAAAGAACAGCCGGTAAATAACAGCCGGTAAATAACAGTCGGTAAATAACAGTCAGTAAAGAACAGTCAGTAAAGAACAGTCGGTAAAGAACAGCCCAGCCGGTAAAGAACAGCCGGTAAAGAACAGTCGGTCAATAACAGTCGGTAAATAACAGCCCAGCCGGTAAAGAACAGTCGGTAAAGAACAGCCGGTAAAGAACAGTCGGTCAATAACAGTCGGTCAATAACAGCCGGTAAAGAACAGCCGGTAAAGAACAGTCGGTAAAGAACAGTCGGTAAAGAACCGGGTGGTAGTGACACATGCTGCCGGCTGTCACGGTGCCGTTACACGTTCCTCCTACAACCGGAGCGGGTTGTTTCAGCGGAGATACACGCAGCCCTCCGCCGGCCAACATGTGTCCACACACCGGTCAATGTTAGCCGGGAACGCACCGGGGCCAGCGGCCGCAGTGTGACAGCCGTGCTCCCGGTGTCATGTCTGTTTACAGCGGGAGCAGCGCCGGTGGTCATGTGCCTGCATTTACTATCACACACACACACACACACACACACACACACACACAGCTCAACATGTTACAGCTAACTGCTAGCGGACAGCACACACACACCCTGTGCGTTACGTTAGCTCACTGAGGCAGCTGCTACACGTTAACCGGGCCGTTTAATCGGTGTTTGACAGCCGCAGAAACGGTGTTTTAAACACGGACAGCGGTGTTACTTCAGAGCTGACATTTCCCGCGTTCCTACGTGGCTAGCTGCTAACCGTAATACGCTAGCTAACTAGCCGAGCTAGTCTCTCTCAGCTAGCATTAGCTAGCAAGCACCGAAACACCCTTTAAACATGTTTCTACGCGCTATTGGAAAATTCTAAATAATTCCCGATAATAGTTAATTTATTCTGGTATTAATGTATGATCGGTTCGGTGGGTCTCGTGTGAGTATTTATTTTAAAAAAGAAAAAGAAAGTACCTGAGCCAAGATACAGCAAAAATCCCCTTTCAGATTTTTTTGTGATTGGACGACTTTGTTATGTCTGCCTGACTACAAAGGCAGCGTCCATTCTGATTGGTCGGCCGTCACTAATCTACCCGGATACCAAAAGCGGGTGAAATTTGATTGGTCGAGCAGAATTATTTTTCTGACTGGGATTATTGTGATTGGACGCGTTTTCCTGGTCTGCCCAGTTACAAAACAGATGAATTTATCTCACAGAATCTGCATAGCAACAGCTGGAAGCAAAACTACTGCAAATAAACATTTTTAGAAATATTTTATTTTATTCTTTATTTACTCTTTGTACTACAGTGCCAGTTTAATAATATAAAAATATAGGAACATCTTATTTTATGGATTAAACATATCTGTACGTGTAGTAAACATATTATACCGTCCAGAGGAAAGCAGACGATTTAACAGGCTACAAGTTTATTTCATGGTTTTAAATCCACAAAAGATGTGTTAATTTCACTTGTGTCAAACACCCCTTTTAATAACAGTACTATCCAACTGGAGGTAATACGTCTATCTGATGTGTGTTAGTTATTTAAAGTCATATTCATCCGTACAAATAAACCCAAGAAACAAGGCTTTTTTTAACATTTATTTATCACATTTGTTTTCCATTATACAAAAGTTACAGTGAACAGCAGAAAAAAAACTAAACTGGGATAAAGCAGGTGTTTTAGACTGAGCAGAGAAACAGCGATGCTTCATCGGTCGCAGCTCGTCTTCATTCGAACCCACTGCGGAGGAACGGGAAGAGAAACACAAATTAATGCAGAACAGACATATATAGACCCTAAATATATAAACTCAACTGTTCGCCTAGTAAACATCAATGTACTTATTTTAATTTTCAGATAATTACTGTCCATCGTGCTCAAACCTTCAACAAACAATCCTTAATCTGATTCTGAGCAGCGTTTAATGTATTTAAAGTGTTTAAGTTATTCTACATACACACTAGGGGTGCAACGATTCACCAAATCCACGGTTCGGTTCATACCGCAGGTTTCCCCGTTTCCCCAGAGAAACACAGAGAGAGAGAGAAGTTATCTGATATTACGTTAAGCGGATACGGCAGATCTCTTACATTACGGAGCGTCAGTGAACGCACCACTGCAGATGTCACTCACTAATGTTAGTTTCGGTTTGGACCCACATGCGGCGCACTTAAAAACTGAATCACGGGTGAGTTTATGAAACGTACTGCTGATGGAGAAAGTCAGCAGAGACACACAGAGGGAGAGAGAGACAGAAAGAGGCGGAGCAAGAGGGCGTGTTTGCTGTGAGTGACCAGAGGTCCAGACTAGGTGTGTGTGTGAGTGTGGGGAGAAGAGAAAGGGAGCAGATTAAAGTAGTAAATAAACAGTAACCTAGAATAACCAACTGTCAATACAAATACGATATAGGCGTACACCGCTACCACCCCCACGGGCCGCCGCCACCGCCGCAGTTACACTGTCTTAACGAGAGCTCAACGGTCCAGAGAGCGAGTGTGTCGCGGTTCTGTCTCTCGGATCCCGACACGAGACCGTAGACTTTTGTGTCGCGATTTCGGTCTCAGTTTCAGAACCGTTACAGCCCTAATACATACACACGTATTAGTAACAGCTAATTAAGGCTTCGTTCCATTTAGTGGAGCAGAAACTTTCTATTGAGCCAACGAGCTCAACAGCAGCTCCCTGACTCTGTTTGGATGAGTCCTGCAAGAACGCAGCACAATGGATAGAAAGATATAGTTCTATAGATTCACAGGTAGAAATAAACTATATGACTTTAGCTCGTGTTTCTAGAGTTACGTGTTGTTATGGATGATATTGATCAGAATACACTGTATCTTTATTGATTATTGATCAGTATACACTGTATCTTTATTGATTATTGATCAGAATACACTGTATCTTTATTGATTATTGATCAGAATACACTGTATCTTTATTGATCATTGATCAGAATACACTGTATCTTTATTGATTATTGATCAGAATACACTGTATCAGTATGGATGATATTGATCAGTATACACTGTATCTTTATTGATTATTGATCAGAATACACTGTATCTTTATGGATTATTGATCAGTATACACTGTATCTTTATGGATTATTGATCAGTATACACTGTATCTTTATTGATTATTGATCAGAATACACTGTATCTTTATTGATTATTGATCAGTATACACTGTATCTTTATTGATTATTGATCAGTATACACTATCTTTATGGATTATTGATCAGTATACACTGTATCTTTATTGATTATTGATCAGTATACACTGTATCTTTATGGATGATATTGATCAGAATACATTGTATCTTTATGGATGATATTGATCAGTATACACTGTATCTTTATGGATGATATTGATCCTGTATTGACAGTCAGACTGTGGACATATGACGGCCTTTAGCTCGTGTTTCTAGAGTTACGTGTTGTTACGAACACGTTAGGAATTGTTAAAATGTGATATTTCTTAAAGGGAGTTTGGTGCAGGGAGCTTTTAGTTGGATTCAAACTGCTGATATGGATCATTGTTAACGTTTAGTCTCCACTACAGAAACACTAGCTAACTGCTGAAGGCTGATCAGGTTGATTGATGCTTTAATAATGGGAGTATTGATTACTGATCAGGATCATTATCAGCTGTAAACGGTTGCCCTTTGTGTGTGTGTGTGTTTTTAAACTACCATCAGGAGGACGTTGAGAGGAATCTGCTGTGACCTTTGACCCTACCTGACCATGTGAGCGATGTCCCAGTTGGTTTCAGAAGACAGAGGACCAATGATCTCCACGCCCTCTTCTGTTACTATGGCGATCTCGTGCTAAAACAAAAACACAACATCAGGTCAACAAAATAAAAACAACTCTTTAAATTTTATTACTTTCACTTTATCCTTTAACACTAAACTTTCCCACAGTCTGACAGCGACAGTGAACTCACCCTGTTGTAGGAGCGAGCGTCTCTGTAGTAAAGCACTTTGAGGCAGCGCTCCACCAGGTCCCGAGCCTCCTGTTTGGTGATCTCCACCTTGTTCTCCAACGCCTCCCTCATCAGGGGCTGCACACACACACACACACACACACACACACACACACACACACACACACACACACACACACACACACACACACACACACACACACACACACACACTTCCTGTCAGACACAATACAAGCTTTGAGCTGCAGAGTCCACAGAGCTTTCAACCAGGAGGAGAACTCACCTGAGCCAGGTATGCTCCAAAGCCTGTGGCCACTGTGGGCGCCTCATAGGCCACGCCCAGCTTATCCACGTAACCCAGGAAACTAGAAGGAGAGAAGAAGATGGCCGACCGGTTAACCATAGCTCCCACAATGCGGTTCAGTTTGAACAGGAAGCGGCTCCCACCTCTCGCCGTTGTAGAAGCCTCCGATCACCACCGTGTTCCACAGAGGATTCATCTTGCTGCGGCGGTTGTACATCACTCTGGTCAGCCAGGAGTGGACCGCCTTCGGGCTGTAGCTGTGACCGTCACCCAGCAGCTCCTCGTCGATACTGACGGACAAACAACCAGACGGACACTTAGCATCCACACAGAGCAGAGCTACACATTCAGGTTCTATTCCAGCAGCTTACACCATCTGCTCGATGATCTGCTTGAGGTACTGGTAGTCGGCGTAGTCCCCCGACGCTCCCAGGATGGTGTTACCGTTCACCTGAAACAGAACAGAAACTGTCAAAGCTGCACGTTTGTGTTTATTTACAACCACAGCTGACGTTAGGACCGTCACCTTCATGAGGCGCGAGATGTTCCTGAAGCGAGCCAGAGAGCCGTACGAGCCCAACATGTCCGCCGCGATGATGACGCCGCCGGTGAACTTCACGCCGAGCACCGACGTCCCGGTTACCATGGGGTTACTGCGGGGGGACAGAGACAGTTGTTAGCTCACAGCTGGACAACACGAGGCTTTATTCCCCCCACCCTGAGGACACCCCCCCCCCACTGAGGACACCCCCCCCCCACTGAGGACACAGCGCTCACATCATCAACACTGTCGGAGATTAAAGGTCAGAATTCATTTCTGGGTAATAGGACATAAAGAGAAGGAACACACATTAAAGTCTTACTGCGCAGACTAAAGTTAACGGTGACATTATAATTATTATATAATATTATAATGTAGCTCTACTGTACTGTAGGATATATTTCCCCTTTCCCCTGGACTGAGTGTAAAGTAATAGACACAGAGCCTGTACTGTAATATATAAATATAAATATAAATATATATTTATTGTCATTAACTGCTTTAGTGAATTTACAAATAAAAGTTTCTGCTGTTCCAACAAACTCATTTAGATGTTTGAGATGTTCAATAATGATCATGATTAATCATTACACTGATCACAGTATTGATCTTAGATCAGTTATTGTTTATGTTCACTGACGGTTCCTGACAGCGGCTAGTTAGCGCAGCTAGCTAACAATTAGTCAGCACAACTGAAACAAACTAAACAAACTCCGATATTAATAATCTATAAGTGATCAATAATCCCTCAGGTCTTCTGTTGCAGTTGGATCAATAATCCCTCAGTTTCTACTTTGAGCTGTAAAAGATTTAAACCGGTTTAGAGTCGCGGTTAGCTTTAGCATCCGCAGCTAGTGTCTCCATGATGATGCAGCACTGCGGTGTTTCCGGTCCAATGTGCGGGTTGTCCCCGCAGCGGGTTGTCCCCGCAGCGGCTCACTCACAGTGTGTGTCTGACCGGCCCGCAGGATGTGCTCGACCCGCTGCTGCCGCCGGAGAACGAGTGAAACTGTCCCGGCTTTGGTCCGTTCTCCCAGAAACTCAGCTTCATTCCGCACGACTCCATGTTGAATATCTGCAGGAAGTGACGACACAGCGTCTTCTTGTTGGCCTCGGCCGGTGTGACGTCACAGATCGGTGCTGTACCGCCGCCTGCTGTCGGGAGGCCGCAACTGCACCTTTAAATGACCCGTTTAACAATATTAATGTATTTATAAAATATAGAAAGAGAACATAAATAAATATTAATCTATAAACAGATTAAACACAATATTCCAAAATAAAAGACAAAGCACAACAACCAAACTGGATCTTTCATATTAATATATATAATATATAATGTTGGTAGATCAGTTATTTATTTAACATATACGCTCCATCTGCCCGTTTATGTTCATAAACTGCTGTACGGTTTATTTCATATTATTTGAGGACATGTAATCTTACTATAATGGACAAACTCCATAAATGTACATTTATTGGTAGAAAACCTTAAAGGAGTTCAAACAATACAGCAATTAACAGTATTAAACTTAAATTTAACAGTTTCATTTATTCAATAAAGAGTAATAAATATAAATATCTCTGAAAGAATTCTTTGTATTCAACAACATCTGTCTTTCTAGGTGAAAAAAAGGAGATTTTCTTTAAATAAGCAGTAGTTTTATGAACAAAATATTTTTTAGGCAGGATGTAAAATTAAAGCTAAAACTGTATTTCAGAATTCACTCATTTTCTGCCTTTCTTATTTTACAGTTTTTCTTTGTACCATCACCGGCCTTGACACGACCAGCAGTATCGAGTATTTACCCAGAGTAAACATGGTTGTTTGTTGAGTTCTCCCAAATATTAGACTGGCAGACACTCTGGAACATCCCATAATCAAAGAATCAAAATAAAGCAGTGGTTCCCAACCTGGGGTCGGACCCCACTACGGGTCGCCAAAGCTTCACAGGGGGGTCTCAAACAGTAACACATAATGCTGGTTCAGTAATACAATAATAACAACAACAACAACAATAATAATAATACAAATAATAATAATACTAATAATAACTAAAATAATAATAATAATAATAACAACAATAATAATAAGAACAAGAACCTACTAACTCTGACATTTTGCTGATAATACTTTGACTCTTGGTGAAATCTTTAATGTAGGAAGGAAACACAAACATCAGGTTTCAGTATTGGCTTTTATTTGATTTGTTATTGATTGACTGATTACTGATTGTGTCCGATCGACCTCTTCACTCAGGGATTTTCAAGCTTCTCCGCCTCTTTCTCAGGACAGAACTCTGCGAGGAGACAAGAGGACGTTATTGATTATCTTTATTTGTAATGTGTGCTGCAGATCCACAGAAATACTCCCGGGGGGTCCAGAGGGGGCAGACTTCCACCCCTCTATCCGCCCCTGCCTCCACCAATCCACATCAGTCAATACAACTTTATCTGTACAGCCCGTTTCAGACAGACAGAGGACAGATAGTGAGACAGAGTGAGCGGAGACACAGACATATAAAAACTACAAACGTCACTGAAGAGATTAAAGACACAGAACAAAGATTAAAATGACAGATTCCAGTTATTCTGTCAACAGGAACTGACCTGTCTACCTGTCTACCTGTCTACCTGTATACCTGTCTACCTGTCTACCTGCCCACCTGTCTACCTGACACCCGCCCACAGGAACTGACCTGCAGCTCCGTCGTAGATGAACGGTTTGTCGTGAGGGAATCTCAGACACTCAGCCAGCTTCTTGTTATCACTGTGGGACGCTTTCAACTGCTCCACATCCTGATGCTGCCCCTCCCTCCCTGACACACACACACACACACACACACACACACACACACACAGTGAGGTGAAGGTGTTACAGTAATGAAGGAGTAAGGTTCCAGGATGTAAGAGTGTGTTTACTGTAGCTCAGCAGGAAGTTGCCAATGTCTCCTCTGTAGACCATCATCAGACAGTCGGAGCAGCTCACAAAGAACTCCACTCTCCCAGGGTCATTGAACTCACTCAACACACCGTCCTTGTGGAACGCTAACACACAAACAACATGTCAACAACAACAACAACAACAACAAACACTTAAACTCAGAATTCTGACTTTAAAGTCAGAATAACAATGCTAATATTAATAATTCTGACTTTGAACTGGACTTTATTGTCAGAAATGTGACTTTTTTTACTTGAAAGTCAGAACTCAAATAAAGTTTTCACATGTGGTCCTAACTCTCTTCTGTAAACAACAATAACACAACAATAACACAACATACTGAATACTAATATTCTGTGTGTCCTTCTTTGCCTGTGTTTTTATTACAATTATTATTACTATTATTAACAAAATAATTAAATTATATCACCGAAACAAATTATTATCGTCACTTTATGGTTGATAAAAAATGAAAAACATTCGTAATGACAAAGCAAAGAAACTGCGACTCACAGCCGCCGACGCTGCGCAGAGGAGCAGCAGAGTCGGAGTCAGAGGGCATCGACATGTTGATGAAGTACTTAGTGCACGACTTATCCCTGAAAGTGACACAGCAGGAAACAGTCAGACAACACAACAACCTGCTGACTCACACCGACAGGCTAACGTCAGAGTTAGCTTCCCAGCAGTGTGTGAGCACTCACTGGAACATGTTCCTCTCGTTGTAGACGATGGTGGTGTTGTCAGGGAGGAGTCGGAGCTCGATGACGGAGCTGGTCAGATTTTCCAGCAGCTCTGTGGCTTCGAGGTTGTCAGAGACGGACCAGACCAGAACCCAGGTCCCAAAAACCTGCAGGAGGAGGGGGGCACAGTCAGACTGGTCTAAGGCTACCAGTGAGAGAGCAGTGATGTCACACTGTCCTGGAGTACACCTGCACATCACCACAACCGGGGGGTTCGACTGATCCTCGTACAAATACTTACTATTTAATAATATTAATATTTAATATTTACTAATCTCCATAAAGTCAGAATCAGTGTTTCAGCTCCTCCAGTTTGGAACACAGCCTCCGAGCCCCTCAGGAGTTCTGGATGTCTGGTCTCAGAACCAGGCTGAGCAGAAACAGACTCACCTTGTCCAGGTCTTTTGGAGGCAGCGTTACGTTCAGACCGCCACAGTCTTCGGGGCCCGGTGCTGCTTTGGTGCCGAGCACCGCCAGCAGCAGCAGCAGCGTCGCTTGGTTCACAACAGTCATCGTGCTCTGGGACAGAAATGGAACGCACCCCGCTCTGTGCTCAGTTTATAAAGGCCTCATCAGTTCAAAGTGTGTGTGCTCAGTGCGTCAGCTGACTGAACCTTTGTTTCCATCAGCGTCTGCTCAGGTTGAGTTTGCTTTATTTACAAAGTTAAAAGGTTAAAAGAAGATATGGTTGCTGCCTGAGGTCGGACAGATCGATGTGCTCGCCTCATTTCTGCCTCTTTACAACAGTCATCAATGTCTTCTGGACCGTCCTCTGGACTCCAGAGAGGAAGTGGGTGAAAGGAGGATGTTAGTGAAGCTGACATCCATCATGGACAACACCTCACCCCCCCTACATGACACTGTGGGGTCCCTGAGTAGTGTTGTGGAAATTTCTCTGCTGCTGGTGAAGAATGAAATAGAGAACTTCTGCCGGCCAACAAGGTTTTTATTTTCTTTGCAAAGAAAAGGTCAATCAACACGCGAGCGGTCAAAGATGAAGAAAGACCCCGAACATGGGGAAATCTAAACATTTATACCTGAGGACCACCTCTTTCACACCCCTTTGTCTGCTGTAGGGGTCTGGCCCTCCAGGAAGTGCTTTCACACCCCTCTGCCCACTGCAGGCATCAGGGCCGACCCCCTGCTGGTGTGTTTTACATATGAGGGGTCCTGCAGGATCTTGCATTCAGGTGCAAAGCCAAGTCCAGACATCACAATCTACAAAACACAAATTGTATATAATACAATTATTATTATTATTATTAACAAAATAATTAAATTATATCACCGAAACAAATTATTATTATAATATTATAATATAATATAATTATTATCGTCACTTTATGGTTGATAAAAAATGAAAAACATTCGTAATGACAAAGCAAAGAAACATGTTACTGCGACTCACTGCCTGAGGTCATCGACATGTTGATGGAGTACCGAGCGCACGACTTATCCCTGAAAGTGACACAGCAGGAAACAGTCAGACAACACAACAACCTGCTGACTCACACCTGACAGGCTGCTTCCCCAGCAGTGTGTAAGCGCTCACTGGAACACGATCCTCTGGTTGATGGTGGCGGTGGTGTTGTCAGGGAGGAGTCGGAACTCGATGACGGAGCTGTTCAGGCTTTCCAAAACGTTCCTGTCAGAGACGGACCAGACCAGAACCCAGGTCCCGAAAACCTGCAGGAGGAGGGGGGCACAGTCAGACAGGTCTAAGGCTACCACTGAGAGAGCAGTGATGTCACACTGTTCTGGAGTACACCTGCACATCACCACAACCGGGGGGTTCGACTGATCCTCGTACAAATATTTACTTTAAAGTCTCCATAAGGTCAGAATCAGTGTTCAGCACTACTTTATAGCTACTTATAGAGCTAATATGGTCTGTAGCTAGGTAATTGTGATGTTATGAGTACACTAGGTCAAGAACTCCATTACCCAGCATGCCACAGTAGTAAGGAGCATGTGCAGGAGCCCCGTCTGCCGGGTGTGGTATGTAGCCATACGGGTAGCACTGAACTGTTGTTATGTGCAAGTTGTCAAGTAAATATGAAAGACCAGCTATCACACCTCGTCTGCTTATTATAAGTTCAAGCAAGACAACACAGTAACGAGTTAGGTAATCTACATCAGTTGTTAGCTAGCTACTTACATCTGAAAGCTATTGTTAGCAAAATGCTAGCTAACTAACAATTGATGTAAATTAGCTAACTAATTAGCTAGGAATTTGCTAACAATAGCTAGCTGTAACTAGCTAGCTAGTGACTGATGTAGCTTAGTTAACAAGGTAACTAACATTTTGCGTGATAGCAAAACGCTATGTAACTAGCTACCAAATCTATGTCAGATTATTAGTTTTCCCTCTGACGTCCTCCGACTGCTCAGCTTCAACTCTCTGAGTTACAGTTTCCTGATGGACAGATAGCTTTAGCTAAAGCAGCTAACTGCTAACTAACTGTATCTTCCGTTAGCCAGTAACAGAACCGGGCTCAGCAGCCGGACCAGGTAGAACACAGCCTCCGAGCCCCTCAGGAGTTCTGGATGTCTGGTCTCAGAACCAGGCTGAGCAGAAACACACTCACCTTGTCCAGGTCTTTTGGCGGCAGCGTTACGTTCAGACCGCCACAGTCTTCGGGGCCCGGCGCTGCTTTGGTGCCGAGCACCGCCAGCAGCAGCAGCAGCGTCGCTTGGTTCACAACAGTCATCGTGCTCTGGGACAGAAATGGAACACTGTGCTGTTTACACTGATACAAACTGTATTTGGACAGTTTACCAATGCTTATACACTGATAAACAACATTTATTCGACGTTTGTGTCGTGAAAACACTTATTTTACTGTTTTAATTATCATGAGATCTTTAATCAGTGGATGAGTCAAAGTCAGTTTAGAGGTTTTCCAGGAAAAAGTTCAAACTGGGTTAAAATCCAAAAGGACAAATGTACTGACGCCCACACAGAGTGGATTACAGTCTGAAGTTGTTCAGTGGTTCCAACCTTTATCCTTAAGGGACCATTTTTCCTATTTTATGGATATCTTATAATCAATAACTGATAAACTGAACAATGAACACAAACAGTGAACTGAAGTTTGTGTAAACCAGAGATTATTTCCTGTGAATATTGATCAGTTTTTCTGATATTTTAATAACGTTTTATACAATCTTCTGTCTGTATTTTGTTTTTTATTGTTTAGTGTTTTATTCTCTCTGATATTTGATGCCATAATACAGTTTGTGTTCAGCTCTTCAGAGTTTAGATATTAAATAATAAACTGTGATGCGATTAAGTTAATTTAACTCAGAAAAATGGTTAAAACAGTTTAAATTGAAAATATTAAGAACATTTTTAACTTTTAAGTAAAAAACATTCTTGATAAGTTTTACTAGGTATTTTTTTTTGCAATAAAAATAAAAGTTTCAAAATAAAGTCAGTGTCAGTTTAAAATGACTAAAGAAAGTATTTTTACTTACTTTTACTCGTTTTACAGTGTAATTGTAATGTTTATTTTTACACCCCTTTAAATCAAGAAGGCGTTGCGACCTCCTGTGAAGCTTTGGCGACCCCCGAGCACAATGAACCCCTTTAGGTTTAGTCCTAGTCCACAATTAACTCGTATTCGTTAAAATGGAGTTAAGTAGGAGTCTAGTGGAAAGTGGTAGTCCGGACTGGCTGGTCTTGCTGCTGTATTTAAGGTGGTAAATGAGATTGAATGAATGTGGGAACTGGTTGCATGGTGAGAAGGATCCTAGTTGAGGGTTAGAAGCAGGACGTCACAGCAGCACAAAAAGCCCAAGAATGCCAGAAGGAACGTGGATTCTCGGACCTTATCGATGTATTAGGATGAATAGCTGAGAGGAGATTAATAGGAGGAGGAATAATCTGAAGGATGGTCCATGTCAGTACGTTAAGTGAAGGAAAAGCTATGAGAGGCATGGGAAGCTTTGAAGCAATTCCATCCAGTCAGGTGTGATGAGAGCGCAGGAGAGCGACTGTTAAAGACAGCGTGTTGTGAAGCAGTGAGCAGATTTTCCAACTGCAGTCAGCTGAAGATGGTGGCTGAAAGCGGCGGGACTGGAGTCGGAAGAGGGTCGGTAACGAGAAGTAAGAGTCCGTCAGCGATGGTGTGTTTATGTTTACATAAAAATCTAATAAAAATTAAAACTAACTCCTCAGTAGCACAAAATAAGAGAATGAAATGTGGGCTGTTAAATATCAGGTCTCTGTCCTCTAAAGCTGTTCTAGTGAATGAATTAATATCAGATTATGATATTGATTTACTTTGTCTTACTGAGACCTGGTTGTCCCACGAGGAGTATGTTAGCCTAAATGAATCCACCCCCCAGTCATATTAATACTCACATTCCTCGAGGCACAGGCCGAGGAGGTGGAGTAGCAGCTATATATGATTCGAGTGTTTTAATGGACCCTAAACCTAAACTAAATTATAATTCATTTGAAAGCCTTGTTCTTAGTCTTTCTCACCCAAACTGGAAAACACTGCAGCCAGTTCTATTTGTTATAGTGTACCGCGCTCCTGGACCGTACTCTGATTTTATATCTGAATTCTCAGAGTTTTTATCAAGTTTAGTTCTTAAATCAGATAAAGTAATTATTGTAGGTGATTTTAATATTCATGTGGATGTTAACAATGACAGCCTTAGTAACGCATTTATATCATTAATAGACTCAATTGGCTTCTGTCAGAGTGTAAATAAACCAACTCATTGTTTTAATCACACTCTTGACCTTGTTTTATCATATGGCATTGATATTGAACATTTAATAGTCTTCCCACATAATCCTTTCCTATCTGACCATTATTTAATAACTTTTGAATTCATACTATTAGATTATAAGCCATTAGGCAAAACTTCCTACAGCAGATGTCTATCTGACAGTGCTGTAGCTAAATTTAAGGAGGAGATTCCTTCAGTGTTTAATTCAATGCCATGTCTGAATTTAACAGAGTCCTATAACAACTTTAGTCCCTCTGAAATTGATAATCTTGTCGATAGTGCTACAGGCTCACTACGATCAACATTAGACTCTATCGCTCCTATAAAAAGGAAATTATTAAAACATAGGAGACTAGCACCATGGTATAACCACCAAACCCGCCAGTTAAAACAAATAGCTAGAAAATCTGAAAGGAAATGGCGCTCTTCCAAATTATCAGAATATCGCTCAAATTGGCAAGATAATCTTAAAATTTATAGAAAGGCCCTCCGTAATGCCAGAGGAGCCTATTACTCAGCACTAATAGAAGAAAATAAGAATAACCCTAGGTTCCTCTTCAGCACTGTAGCCAGGCTGACAGAGAGTCACAGCTCTATTGAGCCACATATCCCCATAAACTTAAGTAGCAATGACTTCATGAGCTTCTTCTATAATAAAATTATTACTATTAGAGAGAAAATTAATCACCAACTGCCATCAACAGTTATCAGTGGCTCTCCAAGTTCAGGGACTTCTGTCAATGTAAACTTAGATATATATTTAGACTGTTTTTCTGCTATCGATCTTCATCAGTTAACTTCAATCATTTCTTCATCGAAGCCATCAACCTGTCTATTAGACCCGATCCCAACTAGGCTGCTTAAAGAAGTTGTTCCCTTAATTGGCACTTCTTTACTGGATATGATTAATCTTTCTTTATTATCAGGATATGTACCACAGTCCTTTAAAGTAGCTGTAATTAAACCCCTTCTTAAAAAGTCTACTCTTGACCCAGGGGTTTTAGCCAACTATAGACCGATTTCTAACCTCCCCTTCCTCTCTAAGATTCTGAAGAAAGTAATCGCCAAAGAGTTGTGTGACTTTCTACATAACAATAGTTTATTTAAGGATTTTCAGTCAGGATTTAGAGTTCATCACAGCACAGAGACAGCTCTGGTTAAAGTTAATAATGACCTTCTGACTGCTTCTGACAATGGACTTGTCTCTGTACTTGTATTATTAGATCTTAGTGCTGCATTTGACACCATTGACCATAATATTCTTTTGGGGAGACATCAAATTGGCATTAAAGGAACCGCACTAAGCTGGTTTAAGTCATATTTATCAGATTGCTCGCAGTTTGTACATCTTAACGATGAATCTTCAATAAATACTACAGTTAGTCATGGAGTTCCACAAGGTTCTGTACTTGGACCAATACTATTTACTTTATATATGCTCCCTTTAGGCAACATTATTAGGAATCACTCCATTAACTTTCACTGTTATGCAGATGATACGCGGTTATATCGATCAATAAAACCCAATGAAATTAATCAATTATCTAAATTACAAACATGTCTTACGGACATAAAATCCTGGATGAGCTGCAATTTTCTGATGTTAAACTCAGAAAAAAACGAAATTCTTGTTCTTGGCCCCAAAAACCTTAGAGACTCATTGTCTAAAGATATAGTCACTCTAGATGGCATTACCTTGGCCTCTAGCACCACTGTCAGGAATCTTGGAGTTATCTTTGATCAGGATTTGTCATTTAACTCCCACATAAAGCAGACCTCTAGGACTGCCTTCTTTCATTTACGTAATATTAGAAAAATTAGACACATCCTATCACAGACAGATGCAGAAAAACTAATCCATGCATTTGTTACTTCAAGGCTGGATTACTGCAACTCTTTATTATCAGGTTGCCCCAATAAGTCCATTAAAACGCTCCAATTAATTCAGAACGCTGCAGCACGAGTACTGACAGGAACTAGAAAAAGAGATCACATCTCTCCTGTACTAGCTTCTCTGCATTGGCTCCCTGTAAAATGTAGAATTGAATTTAAAATCCTCCTCCTCACCTATAAAGCTCTTCATGGTCAGGCCCCTTCATATCTTAAAGAGCTCATAGTACCCTATTACCCCACTAGAACATTACGTTCTCTGAATGCTGGGCTACTTGTGGTTCCTATAGTCTCTAAAAGTAGAACAGGAGCCAGAGCCTTCAGTTCCCAAGCTCCTCTCCTGTGGAACCAGCTTCCAGTTGTGGTTCTGGAGGCAGACACCCTCTCCACATTCAAGAGTAGGCTTAAGACATTCCTCTTTGATAAAGCTCATAGTTAGGGCTGGATCAGGTGAGTCCTGAACCATCCCTTAGTTATGCTGCTATAGGCTTAGACTATCGGGGGATTTCCCATGGTGCACTGAGCTCCTCTCTTCCTCTCTCTTTATGCACTCATTCATGTCCCATTAATGCATGTTACTAACTTCACTTCTTCCCCGGAGTTCTTGTGCTTTCTCGTCTCGCAGGTTCTCATGGATCCTGGTGGAGCCTCCTGCCATGGTCCTGCTTGACTGCCATTGCCAATACTGTTGTTGCTGTGCACCTGTCTGTCTCTCGCTCTCTCTGCCTCTCTCTCTCGCTCTCTCTCTCTCTCTCTCTCTCTCTCTCTCTCTCTCTCTCTCTCTCTCACCCCAACTGGTCGAGGCAGACGACCACCCACCTAGAGCCGGAGGATCTGTCCTAGGTTTCTGCCTTTTAACAGGCAGTTTTTCCTTGCCCTTGTCGCCAAGTGCTTGCTCATGGTGGTACTGTTGGGTCTCTGTAAATGTTATAAGGAGTTCGGTCTAGACCTGCTCTATTTGAAAAGTGTCCTGAGATAACTTCTGTTATGAATTGGCGCTATACAAATAAAATTGAATTGAATTGAATTGAATTATGTCCTGGGATACCTGGGGAGGGCTGAAACCAACCGTGAACTGCATTGTGTCTAAGCAGTG